GCACTCTGTGCTGACAGCTCAGAGCCTGGAGCCTGCTTCAGATTCTGTGTCTCCCTCTCTCTCTGTCCCTCCCCACTTGTGTTCTGTCTCTCTCTGTCTCTCAAAAATAAACAAATGTTAAAAAAAAAAAAAAAAACATTTAAAAAAACAAGTATGTGTCATTCCAGCAAAGTCTACTTGTATTTGAACAATGAAAAGCCTGTTTGGGAATGGCTAGGAAACTGTGGCAGTGACAAGGAGCCAGAGCCCTACTAACATATTTACAACAAAGATAAAGTCTCCAAAGTTAACATTATTTCCCTTCAATTTGAAAAATTCTTTTTTTTTTTAAGTTTGTTTATTTTCAGGGGCACCTGGGTGGCTCAGTCAGTTGGGCGTCCGACTTCAGCTCAGGTCATGATCTCACAGTTCGTGAGTTCAAGCCCCAAGTGGGGCTCTGTGCTGACAGCTTAGAGCCTGGAGCCTGCTTAAAATTCTATGTCTCCCTCTCTCTCTGCTCCTCCCCCACTCATGCTCTGTCTCTCTCTCTCTTTCAAAAATAAGTAAAAACATTAAAAAATTTTTAAGTCTATATATTTTCAGAGAGACAGAGACAGTGCAAGTGGGGAGGAGCAGAGAGACTGAGAGCGAGAGACAGAGAGAGAGAGAATTCCAAACAGGCTCCACGCTACCAGCACTGAGACCAATGTGGGGCTTGAACTCATGAACTGTGAGATCATGACCTGAGCTGAAATCAAAAGTCGGATGCTTAACCAACTGAGCCACCCAGGCACTCCCAACTTGAAAATTTTTTGACATGGAAGCAAATTTCAAGTGTGTAGAACAGAGACCTGTATCATTAAGTATTCTGTAGTTCAATTATTTTGAGGAGATTATTCTAAATGAAGTCTAAGATATCAGACAGACATTTATGTAACTACTTAAATTAAAAGCCAATTCTTAAATTCCTGCCTATAAGTCAAATATTTTGTGTAGATGGTGATGGGCAGCTGGATTTTGAGAAATACTGGGTGATCATATTTTTCTTTTTTCTTTTTTTTCCAGGTACATGTTTGCCCCAGGGTAGACTGTTTGAAATTTTACACCTACAACTAAGCAATTAACTATGCTGAGGAAATTATTTTTCTTCTAAATAAAACCAAGTGGAGGATTTAGAAATATAGGAAAGAATAAGGTTGTAGCTAGAGATGAATTCTGTTAACAAACAGGGTTATAGTGAAGAATCACAAGATCCTCTCTACAAGCAGGATCATAGCCTGTTAAAGTTAAAACTATGAAAAAATTGGTTATGGGTCAAAATCTTTAGCAGCTTACCGTAAGAGTCACCTGAAGCATTTCTGTTCAGAGAACAGCTAAGAACTTGAACTCAGTTTTCTTCTTTTATAATTCAGTGTGGGGCACCTGAGTGGCTCAGTCAGTTAATCATCCAACTCTTGGTTTCAACTCATGATCTCAAGGTCTGTATAGGTTCAAGCCCCAAGTCAGGCTCTGTGCTGACAGCGTAGAGCCTGCTTGGGATTCTCTCCCTCCTTCTTTCTCTCTCTCTCTGTCTGTCCTTCCTCTGTTCATGTTCTAACTCTTTCAAAATAAACTCAAAAAAATAAATAAATTAATTAATAAATGAAATAAAATTCAGTGCTCAAAATTCAAGGTAAGTGTTACATTTAATATCAGAAAGTTAATCAAATTCATGTCTATTCAATCTATCCTTGAAAAAAATTATGTTATAAAAATCTTATTTTATTCTGATAGAAATAAAAATATATTTGCTTTTAACACTTATTCCTATTTATTCTAAAAAGTTTCTATTACATTAAAATTTCTATTTCTTTTTTCTTGTTAGGGTATCTTTACTCTGAGGTGGAATGTAGTTACATTGAAAGAGTTTATAAAATTGTAAAATTTGTTTTAAAACCTGTATGTATGAAAAGTTGTACATGGAGTGTATGTAGTTTGTGAATATAATTACACACACATTCACACATGTATGCATATTTTATTTTTTCAGCCAATGTTTACTCACACATGAGTTGGGTTTACTAAAATTCTTTCTAGGTATTCCTTATCCTTTGTGGTTTATATAATATGTCCAATGTTACAAATGAAAAATTCTGTATATGAAATTGACTCATTATGCTCAGTTGAATAAAATGGCATTATTCAAAGCACTTGTAAATATTAAATATGGTGATAAATAAACTTCTAGAAATCAGCAAAGTAAATACAACTTTTTTTCAATGTGGGTCTAGGGTACTTATTGGAAGTGAATATTCCTGAGATCCATCCCAGAAATAAAGATTCAGAATCTTTCAGGGTAGGGTTCAGGAATCTCCATTTTGGCAAGTTTTTTAGGTGATTCTTATGACAGCACTATACATAATTTTGAGTTTCAGAAACTAATATTTCCCACACAAGAAGAGATATTAGGTGCTAACATCCTCATCCCAATGCTTTATATCCTCTTTGTTTTCCTTTGGTATAAACACAACATAATAAATTTAGTCAATTTAATAAGGGGTAAAAACTTATTCTTTGCAGGTATATAAATGAAAAAGTCAATTAAATATTTGTTTCTTAAAGTTCCCTTCAACCTTCTAGGTGGTTCTACTGCCACTATTTACCCCCCAAACCTCTCTTAAATTGGCTCCTAGGATCCCACATTTTCCCAGATGCTTTTTTGTCCTCCTTTAGGATCAGCTTTAGACATCAAAGCTTCTATTTCCATCCGGCCCTATTCAGCCACTCAAATGGCTTTTTTTATGAGATTACAGCAAACTAAAACTCTGATCACATTCTCTGCACTAAACTGCAATGACTCCATTCTCTCTCATTACTGAGAAAATATGCAAATCTTCCTATTGGAGAGTTTACATTACACATTATTTACATTATTTAGAGCTATCTAAAAAGCTCATCTAGGGTACTAAGCAAAGAATTGAAAATTAAAATGTATCACTAAAGTTTTACTTTTTATATAATATTGGAAAAGTCAGAGCTGTGGCAACAAAAAGGCATGTTAAATATGATACTATTATGAAAAATAATAAAATTATATATTTTTCATTAAAATAAGGCTATTGGAGATAAATAAGAATATCTTCATTGATTTAGTTATAAAATTGTTTACTAAGATAGACATGAAGAGGAAGGAAAGACATATTTCCCTATGTCCTGTCTAGATTTCAATCCACAGGTTTCATAACTGGTAACAATATGGGAATGATATTCTATCCATAAGCAACTATCAACTCTTTAATTCCTGAGACAAATTAAGAGCTACACAAAACACTGAACAGAAATATATATGCATAATTTTTAAATAGAAAAAATGATTTTCCAGGATTCCACTCAAATGTATTGCATAGAAAAATTTCCAGTGAAAGGTAGTATACACTTCTGAGAAAGCTACCTAATCTTATACTCTTAATGAAAACACATTCTATTTTTATAGTAAAGAACAAAGGTATGAAAAGTGCTGAAAGAATTAAGCAGAACCTGTCTCTGCTTAAAAACTCCAAAAAAAAAAGGCTTTCACTCCTTGTTTTCCCTGTGTCTCTTCTTTATCAGAAATCTTTATCTGCCAATACCTACCCTAGAGAATGGAGGACCAGAGAAGTTAACTAGAAAATTTTGATAAAATAAAAGTTTAACCCTCATGCCTTTTGTCTTCTTTTGCCACAACTACTACACAAGAGTATCAACTCCCACAAAAACCTTAGGGCAATGACTTGATTTCTTCTATAGCTAGTTTTTTTCTCTTCTTTTTGTGGGGTGCTAGGTGGAGGAAGATGAGAGTAATTCTTCCAGAGCTTTACTTCAAAATGACAGTATAGAGGAAAGTAAGAAGTGTAAGTAGTGGACTTCTAACTTGACTTTGGCCCTGGCTAGAAATCCTGAGGGTATGTGTACGTGAGGTCCAGGGGCTATTCAGGTGTGTAAATAAATGATGATCTATAGGTGGAAGAATATTTTCCTGATACTTTTGGTGCAATGAAGTTCAGGAAAATTTGGGTGCAAAGCACTTCAGAGCATATAATTGCTCAGCGTTTTTAGGAATTCATCTTCCCCTTACCCATTTTCCATTTAGTGCAGCAAGGCTTTAAGGTATCAATGCATAACTTCACAATTTTGGCTTAGCATTTACTTCGTTCAGCTTATTTTTCAACACTGCAGCAAGACCACCTCTTTTCTAGCCATATATCCTCTATAAATTCATCAACTACATTATCCACCCCATGCCCCAGTCCTCCTCCCACCTCCTGGAGGGTGTAGAGAAATCAGAATAGCCCCCCCCCACCACCACCACCCCCAGAGGTTTTTAGTGCTCTCTGGCTCCCTTGGCCTGTCTGCACTATAGGGATGTCCTGTATAGAATTAGAGCTGTCCTATGGGATTAGATAAGCTTCTTTTCCTTTTGGCCCTAACTGGGACTGCTGTCCCTGGTGCTGAACCATGTCTGCCCATCAGGGAATCTGCTGCTAGGTCAATGGGGCTGAATAGAAAATCTGGCTGACTGATCTTAAGAATGTCCAGGTGCAGGAGCAAGCAATACTTTGGTGTACAGGAACAGAACCCCTCCCTGCCACATACATACATCTCCTGGGTGTGATCCAGGATCCCATTTGCAGTTTTCTGCTCTAGACCCCCCCACCCAAAATGCCTCCAACATGGCCTCAGTTGCCGGCATGTATCAGTTCAGCCCACCTCCATATCAGATTGCAGTATTATCAAAATGCTACTCCCCAAATACAAAGTCTTCATGACGTTAGCTTTTCTACTCTAAAACAAAACAAATAAAACCAAAAAAATTAAGAAATAAATGAAAGTGACCTTCCCCTTTTCTCCCTCTCTTTTCTGCCCCCCTATTTTCACATTCCCCTAATTTATAACCCCATATCCCAGAACAGTGTTTAAAATCTGGGTGGTCTCCCTATTTCCACATCCCTCCCCCCTCCCCCACGTCTCCGGAACAAAACAACGCTGAAAACAGCACATCTTACCCAGGGTAGAACGATAGCAGGAGCAGAATCCACACCGTCATTTTCTGTGAAAATACAGGAGTCGAGTAGTCTGAGCTTCCTGTGCTCCATATATTTGTCGGACTCATCGCTTTTTTTCCTCCTCTGCCTCTAGACTCTTGGTTGCAGAAGGATCCCTCCCCTTTGTATTATTATTATGCTTATGATCTGATGGTGGCTCCCCCCACCTGCCTCTAGTAGGTCCCTTCACTGAGATGCTGTGTTGCCATCAGCTCTGGGAATTAATATTCAGGGGGCAGAAATAAGATCAACACAAACGCTTGCAGATACCATCAAAGCGTCAGCTCTGGGAGCGGCTTCCAAGACTAGGGGAATAATGTATTTGAGGCAGGGGGAGGGTACAGGGAGAGACGCACACCGAGACAAATAAGGGAGAGAGATGCGCGCACACTCTACACATACTCCTGCCCCTGACACTTACACATACTCCCCCGGTCCATCGTTTTAGGATTATTTGTTTGCTGTTTTGATTTTTCTCTTTTAGTGAGGGCAAGCAGGGCTAAGGCTGTGTGTGTGTGTGTGTGTGTGTGTGTGTGTGTGTGTGTGTGTTTAAAAGAAATTTTAAAAAAAATCAAAGAGTCTCTGCGCGATTAACTATCACGCAGATTAACTATGAGGTCAAAGTGGAAGTGATGCACGCTGCTGCAGCACGAATTAACACATGCGTGGTGTCTTCCCAGAGCTTTTAAACTCCTTACTGCACACACAAGCATGCAAAGACTGACTTTCATGGGAACGAGAGATGCTTTAGCAAGCCCCTAAACTATATCACCAGTGACAGAAGGTTTGTCTCATCAGATCTGCCAAGAATCCTTATTAAAATCGTGAAGTCTTAGAAGTCACGGTTACACTGTAGGAGAAGGAGGGGCAGAAGTGGGGGATGGGGGAGGAATGACCGTTTCTCTCTAAATCTCCCTGTAGGGAAACAGATTTGGTGAATTTTCCATTTGAATGAAGGGAGAAAACATTGATAGAATTAAAAGACAAGAAAAAATTCTACGCTCCCCAGGATTCACTCCTCCCTTTTTTGTTCCCCTTCCCCAGTGGAAATGTAAAGACACAAACACTTGAAGGATGAAAATAATTACACTGAGATAGTTGTTTAAGTAAAGAATATAGACCACAAAATAGTGGCTGCTTTTTGAAGAGAGTTGGTCAAAGGGGAAAGGTCAAGAGGACATTTAATAATATAAGGAGATTTCTATTCACTGTATGGGAATTGCCTTTTTTGTTGTTGTTCTGCTTGGTGACAATCCTGAAAATTTCTGGGGTGGATGAGTCGTGGTAGCATGCTTCCTTCTTGCTTAGAATGTTACCATGGATACTGATACATGGGAGATATCCCTCTGTGCCATCCTAGTTCATATGCCTCAGGGGAAACCCCATTACTCATCATAAGAAGAAAGTGAAAATTGTTTCAAGTTTCCAGTAGAGTCCAGACCACAGCAAAGATGTTTATGAACAGATACAGGTGAAGAGGACTAATAAGATGCCTTGTTGCCATATAGCAGGGAGTCATTTCAAAACCAGAAAGTCTTCCAAGTGGGGAACTTGAGTAAGGAGTCCAGGAGGCAGAGGAATAGAATATTCCAACCACAACCCTAAACTCTGCCCGAGGAAAGCAGAGAGAATTGATATAAGTTGAGGAAATTCATTCTGACAATGAAGCAAAAAGGGTCTAACAGACACACCTGGAATCCTAAAGGCCTTAAAAATCTGCCTCATTTTATGACATTTAAACAGAATCCAGTCAAAACAATAGTCACAGGAAGCAGGCAAGTGACTTCTTTCTATTGTTATTAAAATAGAGGGAGAAAAATTGTAAATCTCTATCTTTGTAATTTTCTTGCTCCTTGCTACACTGTGAAGAACTTTGGCCCTCTTTATGTTTACATTTATTTACAAAAAGATGCTAGGTTGTTAATAGTTGTATCTTTGTTTTGTTTTAATTTTTGATGTTTATTTGTTTTTGAGGGAGAGAGAGAGAGAGATAGAGCATGAGCAAGGGAGGTATAGAGAGACAGGGAGACACAGAATCCCAAGCAGGCTCCAGGCTCTAAGCTGTCAACACAGAGACTAAAGTGGGAATCAGGTTCGAGCCCAGGAACTATGAGATCATGACCTGAGCCAAAGTGGGACACTTAACTTACTGAGCCACCCAGGCGCCCCAGCTGTATCTTTGTTTTTAATGAAGATATCCTACTGTATTTTTGTAGGCTAAGGCCAGATGCCTACCAAAACCAAGCCAATAAGATAAATGAAAGAAAAGGGCTGTGTTTCTGAATAACTTAAGGGTTGGAAATGATACACATTGAAGTGTTCACACCCCTTCTGAATGGAGTTGCCACTGCTCTGTTCTAGTTAGAGTTGCCAGAGGAAATGGAAATAAAATTATGAGAAATGTTCCCATTTTTAAAACACAAAGGAAGCCACACCAAACATATGTAGGCCATTAGCCTGCAAATATTGTTTATAGCACATGAAAAATTGATGTGACAATTCTGTCTTCTATATTTCCAATTTTGCATCTTAAGGTTTTTTTTCTCCTGAGTTTAGTGACAAGCATATTAACCTGAGAGAATGAATGCTATCATATTCCCAAAGTAGTAATTCATATATTGATCCCTTCTCAGTATCATAACAGTCTCTGTAAATTCTAATCTATTTTAATAATGGAACATCTTTCAGCATATTAAAAGAATCTGTGAAATTTTACTTTTTTAAAATTTTTTTATAGCATTTGTATACAATTTTACCTGCCCTATTCCTGGCTAAGCTTCAGTTTGCCTCTCAGGACCTTTCCTGTCTGGTGAGTACTCTGAAGAAAATTATTTTGATATATTTTCTAAGATTTGCAATACATATTATATTCACTGGTATTTGGAAGACACCTTATCCACTAATTTATTTTTTAATTACCTTTTAGTTTTGGGCATTTATTCTTGCCCATTTTTAAGAAAATATGTTTATAACACATATTTAACCATTATTTGGTAATTATGATGCTTATACTTTCATTGTAAATAATATATGTATACCTATGCAAATATGCATTTATATTAAAATTTTAAAATTGTAATAAAACAGAAAAAAAACTACTACCTGATTCTGTCATCTAAGCAAGCCATTGTCAATATGTTTGAGATTCTTTTTGCAGTTTAACTTTTTCTGAATAAAGTTTTATTTTTACTAATAATTTGACATTATTATTATTATTATTATTATATTATTATGATTATTATCAAAAGTGAATTATGAGGTCAAAAGTTGGACCAGTTTGGTTGTTGATAGCAAATCTCTTATCACTTGGGAAATCAAAGTATATTACTGCAGTTCTAGTCCTGGTAATGTAGAAATTGGCTAGCCATCCTGCATGCTAAAAATTATAAGTAGTGGACAAAATATTAAACAAACTGTGTAAAGTACTAGAAAGTTACCAAAGCAAGCAGAAAGTGTTGAACATCTGACCACAGAAAGATGAAACTGAATTGGATGAGATGTACAATTATGTGGCTTTTCCACAGAGGGCAGTTAAAGGATGACCAACTTGTCCCTATTAGCCTCCAATTTGCCTGATTTGAGCATGGGAGGTCCCAAATCCAGGAAAACCCTCAACCCCAGAAAGGATGGCTAGAATCAGAAGGCAGCAATCTTATTAGTTTGAGATTCCAAAGAAGGACATGGGGGTGCCTGAGCTGCTCAAGCTGAGGGGGAAATCACAGAAAAAAAAAAAAAATAACAGAGAAGTAAGAGTCAAAATCTGTAAGCAAACTTCCCTTACCTGTTTGTTTTGGGGTGAAAGACACCAAAAAGCCTGGGAAAAAGTTAAAAACAGAAAGACTGAAAAAGCTAAGCCAGTATTTCAGCTGCCACTCAGTGCAGGAGAGACTGAGTTTGGAATTTCAATCCACCAAGTTAGAGGATCATAATAAATACATCACACTTTTCTTAAAAACCCTAGAAGGACCATGACCCTTCTCTGCTGTAGGAACAGGATTTGTTCTAAGCCTAAGGACAAAACTGAAACTAACCTGAAAACAATATAGAACTAATCCTGCCCAAGATGAAGGTCATTTGTCAATAATTTAACTCCTAATAAAACAAAAATGAACATTCTTTAGAGGACTATTAAGAATCAGAATGTTGATAACATAGAAATTGTTTTGGTACATGGTAAAATTGTTTGATTCATGATAAAAAAAATAAAGACATTCTAAGTCTTATACATACAGGATAATAGGACACATATTTTTTAAAAATAGCATTCAATATAAACAAAACCTGAGATGTAATTAGCAAATAAGGGATATTCAGTCAACTAATTTTATCATGATAGTTATGTGGTCAGTGAGTGTACAGTAGGGAATCTCAGCAAAGAAATAGAAACTACTTTAAAAAATAGAAAATTCTAGACCAAAATGTATAATACCTGAAAGGTATGGGTTTTCATAACAGATTGACAATTGCAGAATGGAAGCAATAATCAGTAGAAATAAAAATAGATCAATAAAAATTATCTGACATAAAAATCACAGAAAAAAATATTGAAAAAAATTTAAAAGAGCTACGAAACTCTGTGTGACAGTCTCAAGCCTCCTGATAAGCTATCGTAGAAGGAGAAGAGAGTAAAGCAGAAACATATTTAAAGTAGTAATAGCCAAAAGATTTCCCAAAATTGGTAATAAAAAAATTTATTATAGATCCAAGAAGCTCAGTGGACTCCAAGCAGAGTAAACATAATGAAAAGTACCCCTGGGAACTTTATAATCACACATATAAAATCTAAAGATTAAATGAATATTTTGAAAATATTCAGAGAACAGTGAAACACTTTAATTGCTAGAGGTTAACATTGCAATGATGGTTGACTGATCAAAACAGTTTGGGGCAGGAAACAGTGGGTGACATCTTTAAAGTGCTGAAAAAAAGTGTATATAGAATTCTATATCCAGTAAATGGATCCTTCAAAAGTGAACCCCCCATAAAAAGAAGACATTTTCAAATAAATGAAAGGTGAGAGAATTTGTCACCAGCAGAGCTGCGACAGCATTAATAAAGTAAATTCTTC